TAAGAAAGTGACCAAACTTCCCTGAACCTCAGTTTCCTCACCTGTAAAATGAGGGGCAGACACCTACCCACGTTCCAAAGCTGCCGCAAGGACTCAGTTTGTTCTGTCAAACGCCAGCCTCATGAGGGGTGACTAATAAGCATCGTTCTTTCATCCCTTCAGAGATGAGCTCCCCGGGGGAACCCAGCAAGGTCTGATGCTTCCAGAGGTGCTTAGGCACTTGGCTTGGTCCTTTCCGTCTATACCGCCTCCTCCCTCCTCCATTTGCAATTTGGGGCACAGACCTTTTACCCCAAATGCTAAGTTGTCTCTAAGGTAGCGGTTCTCAACCTGTGGGTCGCGACCCCTTTGGCGGTCGAACGACCCTTTCACAGGGGTCGCCTAAGACCATCTTGCATATCAGATGTTTACATTACGATTCATAACAGTAGCAACATTACAGTTATGAAGTAGCAATGAAACTAATTTTATGGTTGGGTCACAACATGAGGAACTGTATTTAAAGGGCCAGAAGGTTGAGAACCACTGCTCTAAGGGATGTTGCTGGGAGAAGTTAGAAGAGAAGGGAAAAGGAAGACTGCTTTCTTCGGGTGTCTCTAACTCTCTATCCAACCCAGCGTTATACTTTTCGAGTCTGATGGGAGGGTTCTGTGGGTCATAGCCAGGTGGCATTCATTCATCTGAGCGGGCAGTGCTGGGGCCCCTGGGAGCCGCTGGGGCCCCGTGCCTCCCTGCACAGCCTGTCCCCTGGAGCAGCCTGCCAGCATGGCCAGCACCGGCAGTCGGTTCACTGAATTGCTGCGTTCAGACTGACATCCTTGGGGGCAAAAATGAAAAACCAGGAACGTGTGGCAGGGAGAGAACATCATCTTTTTATGTAAATGTAGGAACCTAAGAGCCCTGTCCTCAGCGTTCCGGCTCTCTGAATTGTTGTTATCAAAACAGGGAAACGGGCACACTTATTTTGAGGGCCGTGCCTCCCAGCCTCTCTTGGGGTGGCACACAGAAAGGTGGCTCCCAAGGTGACACCCTCTTACCAGGAGCAGAAATGGCAGCCCGATCGCTCCGCTCGGACTTGGGGCTGCCTGCTTCTGCGGCCTCTCACCCACCTCTCATTTGATTTTCCGAGTTTCCATTAAACTCAGCTTGGGTTCATAGCCTGGGTAATTTTCAAAGCAGCTGGCTTTGAAAAGACCTTGTCCCCCTGCACTATCTAAATCCTGGCCCCTGGCACCCCCTAAGAGGAACAGGCTGGTGGAAATCCAGGGCCCCTCCTCAGCTACTGGGATCAAGGGCACCCTCTGGGAATGGGGGACAAAGGCCAGTTATCTTGTCCTAATTTTCTCACTGCAGTGTCCACGTGTAAATATTCCTGTGAACGGGCAGGATCTTAAATCACATGATATCGTGCTGAAGAATGAAAAAATGCCTACGATTGGGGGGAGGGGGAGCTGTTAGAAAGTCGAACGTTTTGGTTGGTTTTCTTTAGGACTAAACATGTATAAGTTGGATAAGATACATTTTATTAAACAAATAATTGCTGAGAGCCTATTCTGTGTGAGGGACCGGCTAGTTCTCCATCTAAGTCCTTTCTATCTGGAAAGTTCTGTGATCCTACCATGTTGCCATGGAATATATCTTTAAGGGAAGGGAACTTACACCGACTAACAATAGTTATGAGTCATATATAGGCTGCACTGTCTATGTATGTGTTTCCTTTATGGGCTCCCTCCATCTACTATCATGTAAGCTCTGTAAATTAGGGTGATGGGGAGCCATGGAGGAGTAGAGAGCTGGGCAGGAGCAACATTTTAAATTAGGAATCAACCCAGGTCTCAGTTTGAAGCTCTCCAATACCTTCCCAACAACATGTTAGATTCTTATCTCATTTCTCAGACCATCTGACCCCCTGGGGGGCTTGGAATCCCCATAGCTCCTGGAAAGAGAGTGCAGGAGTAGGCAAGAACATTGTTTTGCTCTGGCCTCCTGGGGCAGACACAAAAGTTAGCTGTCTCCCAGTTCCCCACTCAGTAAGAATGACTGAGAGCTCGGGAGTGAAGTAAGAAGCAGGAAAACCGAGGGCCGAGTATCTCTACCACCATTGGCATATTTACTCTGCAACTTTGAACCAGCTACGTGCCCTGTGCCTCAGTTTCTTCACCTGAAAATGCAGTTGGGATGCCCACTGAATGATGGCTCAAGGAGGCAGGAGTGTGTGGCCTGGCATAGTGCATGGCACAGAATAGCTGCTCCATAAATCCAGGAGAGCCTTGAATGTGTAAAACTTCACAGAAATGTTACCCATTTTACAGAGAAGGAACCTGAAGCTGAGAGAAAAGAAGCAGTTTGCTAGTGGTCACAGAGTCAGGAGCCGTGAGAACAGGGGTGGCTTTGCCAATGTCCAGGGTTCACTATCAGAAGCAGGGCCACCTCATGACTTCGTGGCCCAAGGTACTTTGGCCTTCGTGGGCCTCTTCCTCCAAAAAATACATTAAAGAGTCTCCTTTACAACCGCGCTGGTCTGAAAATGAATATGTCCATGATAATATTCATTTCCCCCTTATTTTCAGAGACATTAAAAAGCTTTCACGAGCCCTAAGTCTCGTGGGTCCTGGGCACGGTGCCTGAAGGAGAAACGGACCCCGCTCAGAAGCCACTCACCTTGTCCTCCTCGGCCCTCACGTCGGGCATGGTGCTGACACACAGGCTGACCGCGGTGGTGGCCACGAAGAGGATGGACAGGCAAGCAAAGACCTTCCCGGGCAGCCCCGACTGCGGGTTTTCCACCATCTCCCGCAGCCAGTTCATGCAGAGCCCGCAGCGCGAGGTGTCCGCGGCCGGGCCGCACGCCTCCTGCTCGCGCTGCAGGGACTCCTCCCTGCGCAGCTCTGCCAGCTCCTCCAGCTTCTTCAGCAGCTTCCGCAGGCAGCACTTCTCCAGGTGCTCCTCCTCGATGCCCCAGTAGGTCAGCTCCTCCTGGAAGGACAGCACGCACATCTCCCGCAGGAGGGCCAGCTTGCCGGCCGCCAGGAAGCTCACGATCATCCCGAAGGCACTGGGGCTCCTGTCGAAGAAGAACTCCTGGTTGTCCTCGTCGTAGTCGTCGCAGAGCTGCGCGATCTCCTCCTGATTCCGGCAGAACTTGAGCTTGCTCAGGCGGCTCAGGGGAAACTCGTCCAGCGTGCTCCAGGGGAGCACGTACCTCCTGCCCCCCACGTTCACCAGGATCTCCTTCTTCAGGTCCGCCGTCGGGGAGGCGTCCAGCGCGCCCACCTTCCGGGCCCTGCGGTAGTAAAGGCCCTTGATGGACGGCGGCTCCACGGAGCCCGGCAAGAGCTGACTCAAAGGGCTGCAGGAGCTGGAGTGATGGTGTTGGGGCTGCAGGCCCCTGACTCTGGAAGTGATGGGCATCGCTGTAGATGTCCTGGCACCCAGAGGGGCAAGAACGAAAAAGCGAGAGAAATCGGTCAGGAGGCAGAGCCCTAGTTGTTACAGACACTTTCTCATGCTTACTTTCCTGCCACGGTATCTGCATTTCTCATGCTTTTCATCTTCCATCTAACACAGATGTATTGGGTTCACTTGGGATCTTTCAGCGAAAAAAGGAGACAATGCCATCCCTTCCTGGGGAAGCATATATTTATCTCTCAGAAAAATCTCCCTGGAAGACACATTACACGGATTGGGATTTGAGGAGCGGGGTCCTGAGCTGGACAAGTCAGAACTGTGCCACTTCTAGGCTGTGTGGTCCTGGGCAGGTACCTTAACCTCTCTGATCTTAGCATCGTTCATTCCATGACAAAACTTGTATCAACCTTGCAAGGTACAGTGGGTAAAAATAGAGCTGAAGTGTGTAAGAGGTTCTCAAGTTCACGGCCAGGTTCTGACCCCTTATAGACTGCCACCACAGGTGGACTACTCAGCCACTCTAAGCCCTTGGCTTCCTCCATGCAGCCAGGGGAGTGTGAGTGCCCACCCCAGGGGGCACGGTGAGGGTTGCATGCAGTAATATACAGGAAGTGTATATTAAGAACAGTTCTAGATGCTTCTGACAAGCCAGGCACCTTGCACATGCTTCCCTATATTAACTCATCTCAACAACCCCATGAGGCAGCATTAATATTTCCATTTTACATATGAAGAAACAGAGGCACAGAGGGTATGGGAGGAGGAATGTGACCACGGTTAACGTGGCATCTGACTCCCAGGAGAAGCTCTACAATGTCACCTTATCCCTCTCGTCTGCCTTCTCATTTGGAGGCCTGTACACTCCATGATGGTGCTCCTCCATGTATGTTGGGTGCTTGTCTCAGCTACTCTTGTTGGGTGACCTTGAGCCAGTGACTCCCCCTCTCTGGGCCTCGGTCTTGTCATCTGCAAAATAAGGGGGCCCCTAATGTGCTCTCCACTTCAGACCCATGTGGGGCACCTGAGTTAGAACAGAGTTTTAGATTTAGCCCACGCCTTTGTAAAATCACCCCCATCATCGTGATCCTCAGCATCCTGCAACCATTCCCTATGCGTTTCATTGCATCTATAGCCTTACGTTCCAAGATGCACTCCAATCAAGAGAAACACTCGGCCGCTGAATGGAAATAAAAGTTCCTCTCCATTTCAGAGCCAGTTGGATGCCGGCAGGCAGCGAAGAGTTGAATCACAGCCTATGCACTTCACACGTGCTCCCCACACCACATTAGGTTACTCTGCATGCATTACCTCCTTACAACGTATGGCCAGAGGAAGACGAGCAGCCTGCAGAGAGAAGAGCATTCTGAAACCCGGGGAGCCCTTCCCAAGTGTTTTCCTTTTCCTGTTGCAAAAACCAGGACCCAGAGAGCTGAGGTGACTCACCCAAGGTCACACGACGAATCCAAACCCAACCCAGGACTCTGTCTCTCAACCTGGGGCTCTTTCTAGAACCCCCCAAAACTGCACTTTCTGCATTCACGGCAGAACCCCAACTTTGCAATCCACTGCCCCCCGAAGCAGCCGGCACACAGAGCTCCTTCCAGAGCCGGGGAAAGGTGGTCACTCGAGCAGCACTTTGGCCAAGGATGTTTCAATGTCCCGTCAACGCCCACCCCTGCAGCAAACAACTTCTTCCCCCAAAGTTTAACTCACCCTCCTGTCTCAGGGAGCCGGCTCCCAGCTGTTTCTCTGTCCAGCAAGAGGAGCCCATGTCTCGATGTCCCGGGAAGAGACAGGCTCGGGGTGGAAATGAAAGAAAGAAAAGAAAATCCCAAACACGGCAGTTTCTGGCAGAGTTAGTTTCCAACCTTCTTCCCTTGTCTCTTCCAGAAACCCGAAGTCCGTTCATTCTGCATCTCTCTCTCCAGCAGCTGCAGAACAACCCTGGGGGCGTGGGGTGGGGGTTTTAAGAGGACACAGAAGCCCCTCTCCCCAGGAGAGGTAAAAGTCTGAGGGGTTCATGCTGTGGGGGAGCTGGTCCAGCTGTCCTGCTTCAGCTGCGGGCTCTGCACTCCGGGTCCCACCGGACAGCCAGTGTGGTCCTGCAAGGGGCGGGGGTGGAGAATGGGAAGGGCTTAGAATAATCTCTCCATCAGCCAGGCAGCAGGCTGGAGCAGCAGCAGCCGCTGCTCTGCCAACCGCCTGGAAAGCTAGGAGAGCTGTCCTCCCTCCCCTCCAAGGAGGAGCATAACTCGGAAGGAGCAGAGGACAACTTGGGGCCGAGGCATCTGCGGCTACCTGTCCCTGGCACCTGGAGGCTCCTTGGCGGGGGGGAGGGGGAAGGGGGTGCCGATGATGGGCAGGTGCTCAGCTAGAAGCTGCAGGGGGAACTTTTTGCTGCTTTGACCCAGCCCAGGTCTGGGACAGGTTCCGAGAAGCACAGCCTCCCACCGCTGGGAGTTCAGGAGGATGCATGATGGACGGGGAAGAGGTGTGAGCCTGGAACCACATACACCTGTTTCCCTGGCTCCAATGGGAATGGCTGGGTGACCTTGGGCAGGTGACTTAATGCCTCTGAGCCTCATTTTCTTGTTTGCAAAAAGTATGAGAATGAGAGGGGGTCGGGGAGGGTCGCCGCAGAAGCACAGAGCAGGCCCCTCTGTGGGTTTGGCTGGTGTGGTCGTGGTGAGGAGGAAGAGGAATGGTTTCTAGGGTCTGGGTCCTAGCCTCGGCTCTGCACCACTTTGCTGTGTGTCCTTGGCCAGTCACTGTACTTTTCTGGGCCTCAGTTTTCTCACTGGTCAAGTGAGGACAGTCAAAGAAGTGATGGATGAAATTGCAAAACCATCTTCTCATGTAGGTGCTCAATGTACATTGGCTCTTCTTAATTTTCTTAAGAGGTTCTGAGGCCCAGACTCTTGGCTTCCAAAGGTAAGTTATCATGATTAGCTTTGCTTTGCTGACAGGGTCTGGAGGCCTAGGGAAAAGGCCTGCTCAAGGTCACCTTGCTGGTTGGAATCTGTACTTAAAGGGACTTTGAGTTCTGATGCAAGGATCCGGGAGGACATTCTGAGCTTGAGCCTTCCACAGCCTCCTGGAGAGGGTAACAGGAGCTGCTGGCCTCAGTGGGCAACCTGTCACCTGGGATATGGGGACAAATCCACACGCGATCAGAGAAGCTGATCAAATGGAGGTGGTCTTTGGCAGAGGTTCCTTGAAACCTGAGGGTTCTGCAACAATCCTATCTGATAAAGAAGGAACATGCTAATTGACCTCACACTGTTGCAAAGATGGCGGTACCCACAGCCAATAAGGAGGGAATATGCTAATTGACTGCCACGCCCTCAAAGAAGGCGGCACCCACAGCCATGAGATGGCAGTGCCCATTCCCCTCAGCCCCATCGGGGCGGCAGGCACAGGGCAAGGCCAGGCCCGCCCCTGGCCTTGCCGCACACCTGCCTCCGGAGTCCCCCAGTCCCCTCATCCCCCCCAGCCGCCCAGGGCCAGCCCGAGGCACAGACAAGCCTCAGATGGCGGCTGCCCAGCTGCCCAGCTGCCCAGGGCCACCCGAGGCTCAGGTAACCAGGGCTGGCTGAGGCTTGCGCTGCCGGTGGTGGCAGCAGCAGAAGTGTGATGGGGGTGTCGCCTTCCCCTGATACCTGGGTTGCCTCCTGCCCCTGAGGGCTCCCAGACTATGAGAGGAGGCAGGCCGGGCTGAGGGACGCCCCTCCAGTGCATGACTTTTCATGCACCGGGCCTCTAGTGATTGAAGAACTGGAATGGAGGATGACAAAAGGGAGGACACAGGGATGAGACTCCCTCCCTCACTATGTCGGCTCCGCTCTGATCAGTTTCCCATAGTAGGTCCATCAGTGTAACCCAAATACTAGTAAATGCTGTGGCCCAGGCTCCACACTCAGCCCATTCAGAGACCCCAGGGCACCTGTTAGTAAGGGAGCCACTCTCCCTCCTTCCCCTGACTCCCCAATTTCCTCAGACCCCACAGCTGTTAAAACATTGACCAGACTCCAAAATGATCTTTCCAGCTCATGCTGTTCCCCACCCGTCTCTGTCCTCCCACATTTCTCAGCTTTTTATTGTTTATCTCGACTTACCCTCTGGCTAAATCCCCTCCAACCTGTCCCCCTGCTCTTTGGATCTGGAGTGCATGGGCTCAAATCAAGAATTTACCACTTCCCGGCTGGGTGACCTTCAGCAAATTTCCTAACCTTTCTGTGTCTCAATTCTCTCATTTGTGAAATGAAGATGATAGAATGTACCTATTGATTTGTTATGAGTATTGAACATTTAAATCAATTTGTATTTATAAGGTGCTTAGAAGAGTGTCTGGGATGAAGCAAGTCCCGATTAATTGCTTGCTGTTATTATGAATATTCATTATAACAAATGTAAGTCACACAAGAAAGATTTTGTTTGAAGAAAGGAGTCTGCTGTTTTTTAAAAACGTGTTTTAAGCCCCTGATAACTCACAGAGGAACTGAGACCCAGAGGAGGGTGAAGAATTGTTTGAGCTCTCATGGCCAGTCAACGGCAGGGCCAGGCTCAGGCAGGACTCACAGTCCAGTGGTCTTTCCCCAGCCCCAGTGCCTTCTATTAGCTGTCACTTTGCCCAGCTGTAGGACCTGGTGTCTAGACCCATCGGCCCCTGACCCAAGCGTTCACTGAGTCCTTCCACAGGGTTTGGTAAAGTTCCAGTCACCTTTAGGCGTAAGGCCACTGCCTTCTTGTGTTCCTCCCTTTCGTCTGCACTTGACCTCATCTAACCAGGGAAAGGAGCCCAGCCTCGGGCCCTTTCCAGCATCCTGGGAGTCCGGGATACAGGCCAGCCAGGCCAGCCCAGCCTTGCTCTCTTCCGAAGGACTGTTGCTTGCCATGCATTCCTGATAAAGGGCTGGGCCACCGTGACCACGTATGCGTTTCCTAAGGCTGCTGTAACAACACACACACATGTATCATATTGCAGTTCTGGAGGGCAGGAGTCC